CTCTCATCTTTTCTCACACCCTCACACATGATGTTTTTCGACTATTTATTTTTCTCTGATGGTTTGCTTTCTACATTCATTGTTTGATGGTGCTCTCTTTGCAACTATAAAATAATTAAACGATACCAAGTCTATCTATAGGCATTAGTATTAGGAAGAGAGTTGGAAAATATTGAAATATGTGCATAAATGATTAAAAATATATGAACAGCTGAATTATAAAAAAAATGCACCATCTCTGCAATCTCGTGCTTGTATGCCTGCATGCATTTGATGAGTCGGCATGCATCCTTCCTTTTTTCAACATGAATAAGTGATTAGAAAGAAATGTGCGATATTTGTGTTAAATAATGTACAATAAACTCGTAACTTATTAGATACTTTTTATAAATATCAATTGAGTACGAGAAATAAATTGTATATGATAAATGAATTTCATGATTTATTGAGATAATTTTTTAGGAATGCTGATTTTGAAATTTTGTTAGTAACTCACATGATCCTACCTCTTACCTATTGATAACGAATAAATCATGTGAGTTACTAATAGATTAAATGCTACATTTGAACTAATAGATTATGGTATATGTTGTATCGATAGATATTACGATTTATATGCTTTTTAAGATACTCTATCCACATTAAAAAAAAAAAATACTTGACCCGCAATCATATATAAAAAATATATACACACGAGTGTGTGTATTATTTGTACGTGTTAGCTTAGTTTAGTTCCCTAAATTAAATATCCTAACTCAACTAGATCAAGGCAAGCAAATTCTGTAATTGGATACAATCATGGTCAAAAACGGGTTTTTCATTTCCATATTTATCACATGGGAAAAGAAAGGCTAAGGAGGTTCTTCAAACAAAAAAGAAGAGGTTGAGAGGTTCAAGTTCATCAAATTTCCGTACTCATTGAAAATTATGAAAAAATGTTTTTTTTTTAATATTTATTATGACAATCTTTTGGAAACACAGTGGAGAATTTCGAATGGCTCACTCCAATCAAACTTGTTAAAAACTAAAATGAAATCAGAAAAGGAAGACGGAGGCCGTTGAAATTTACAAAGAAAGACTTTCTCTGTGGCAATGTTTCGAGAAGTGTAGTCCAAAATTTCAATTAGCCAACCAACTCCATCTTTCGCTAACTTTCCATGAAGCCAAGTTGAAACCGAATAAACTATGTCATGGCCGGGAATCTCAACTTTTGGTAGGCCCTCCCATCGAACCCAGCTCTCTATTTCTGTAAAAATTTGTTTTCAGTTAATATAGTTAGTTCATTTTCTTTTTCTTATGGTTTTAGGTCGAATATTTGAGATTTAGGAACTTTTTAACCTGAAAGTACTAGATTGGATGGAAAAAAAATTATATCTTTAAGCTTGTTCCGTTAAGAGATATACTCTCATATCATACACAAAATGATTCGAAAATATTTATTAAAATTAAAAGATAAAAAATAAATAAACATTTGACCCATCCTTTAGGTGGTCTAGAACCCCGATCCTTTCGTTGACGATGTATAACGTCTTTTTTTCTTTGTACCTTTTTTTAGTATAATAATAATATATTTTAAGGGTCACCATCTGTGGCCAAATATCCTCCTGCCCTTGCACGCTGTGGAAGATCACTTGCCCATCGTATTCATAGCTTTAGCCTTTCGAGGCGCCGTGATATTATTTTCTGATTATAAAAATAAAAAATTCACGGGCCAATGGCACTTTTTAATCATATATTTAAGCCTGCGTGGCATTTTATTAATGGAGCATCTCACTAAGCTTAACAATAATGAAACCACTTGGGAACTTCTCGAGCCACCGCCGCGACTAGGGAATCCCAAGGAATAGGAAGATGCCCCTTGCGAAAACTCCAAATAAATTTCCCTAATAATCCTCTGCAACCATGCCCACCAAGTTCCACCAGTTCAAAAAATCTCAGGCATTCTGTTTTACTGACGTGGAAACTAACCATTTGTGGAAACATTATAACGAGGTTTGACTCAGTACAGAGAATCCGATATTGTTGGCCTTTCTTGCAGTGAATCATTGCTTGGTATCTAAAATTTAATAAGAATATTTAAGCGATCATTGTAGTTAAAGAAACTGTATACTTAATCCCTATAGTTTAAAATATTTTAAAACTTACTCCTTTTTAAAAAATTTCATGTATTTGCTTCTTCCTTTTTTTTTTTTAAATTAGAAAAGAAAAGCATGTTAAATGAGCAAATTTGACTAAAAAAATATTGATACTTACCCATTGCTTGCGTAAAGATGTTATGTAAATGATAGTTTGAAATATTTAATGATTGTGAAATATTTATTAAAATATAATGTCGATTTATTGTCGCGTTTTTTGTTATAGTTTATGTTGTCTCAATAAATATAATCATACTAATGATACATGAATTATTGTCTCAAATTTGTTTGGTATTAGTGTTACATACTGTCTAATAGTTTTATTTGCTAATACTAAATTATAATCATTATAAGATCATTTTTAATTGTTGGTAAAAATAAGAAAAACAATATTTGAATGCCAATTTCTCTCCTCCCTTTCTATTTTCTATTTCTTTTTTTTTTTTTTTTTTTGTCACCAAGCTTTGCTAGAAACCCAAATTTGTTATAAAGTATGATGCAAAGGTAATAGTTTTTTTCTCCATTTTTTATGCAAGAAAGAAAACAAGATTAATTGATAATATATCTCATATTGGCATATAATGCCAGCTCCAAACAGGTAGAAATGAAAATACATTCAATTCTATTAACAATAATCTTCTTAAGAAAGAATTAATTTTTATCTACGCTATGTTGCTAATACTAAAACATGTAAAATTACTTTCAAAAATAATTTTGGTTTGATGGTACTTATTATGTTGTGGGTCTACTAAAATATATCAAATCAAAATTATTTTCTTAAATTTTGTGTTTAACTAATTATTTATTATGTTTTTCATAATTTTTTTTTGCTAAAAAGAACACAATTTATTCTTTTATATTTGAATTCTTAGCTAAAAACTTATGAAAAAATTCAAAAATCCATGAATTTTTAACTAAAAGCTTTTCTTATATTTTTTTTTCAAAAAAACATAAGACAAATTATCTAAAAAAACTTTTAATTTTTTGATTAAATCTATATATACCGTAAACTATATATTTTTTTAAAATGTAGCATATGTATATTGAGGGATGAAATTACAATACAAATAAAGTTGTAGATCGAAATAAAATTTGTTGAAAAAATAATGGACAAGGACAAAACTTTAAGCATAAAATGCTTGAAAAAAACCTCAAAATTACTAAAAAAAACATTTAATGCACGGTAAAAAGAGGATAAATAGTGTTGTGAACAAAATAAATGCCTAAAAAAACGTTTAAAGTAATGAAAATGACACTATCTTAAAATTATAAAAATGCCATTAAGCGAATAATGTTATATTAGTGTGTCAATAATGTAGGAATGGTAAAAACCCCATCTCTTTTAAGGACACTATCTTAAAATTACAAAAATGACATCAAGTGAATGGTGTTATGTGAGTGTATGAATAGTGAAAACTCCATCTCTTTTATGGTTCTTCATAACAGAGCATTGTTCTTGGATTCTTACATGCATAAAATTCATGTGTTTCTTCTTCGTTCTTGTAGGATGCAAAATCGACGTGCTCTACGTAAAGTCAATAGCCGTGTTGATTGGTTTGTCAATACCGATCATGGTTGCTCTTTAGGATTTCATAAGTTAGATTCTACTTATCGGACACTAGCTTATTTATTATATGAGAACGTGATTGGGATTGTTTTACCTTGTTTAAGTAGTAATTGTTTGTAGTTTTCAACCATCAATTTTGTTTTTTTTTTTTAAAGGAATTGAAAAAAAAAACTAAACAAGAATAGTCAACTCTAGATCTAAGACTAACTATTTATTCACAATAAAATATGTACTAAATTATCAATTTAAATAAACTATAAAGATTGAATTGTAATTGGCTCTCAACATCTCTCAATTTTTTATTTTGTACTAGTTTCTCTATATTTTTATTTGTTTTATTATCTCTTTTCTATTTTTAAAATCATTTTTGTTAGATTCTTTTTTTTTTTTTTTTTTTATCAGTATCAATGGTTCTTAGTCACCTAACTTGCAATCAATCCAATATATTAATGCGTCAAATTCTTTTTTTTTTTTTTCATTTCCTCTTGTTATTCTTTCTCCTCTCTCGACCGTGGTTGCCCTCTCTTTAGTCCTCCTCTCTCTCTCTCTCCACCACAAAATCATCATTAAGGTATGATAGAGGAGAAGAGTTACCATCCCAAAATCATCTTCAAAAAACCAAAAATATCTTTTGTTTCGTAATTTTTTTTTATTTTTCGCCATGTCTCGACAACAAATATCAATGAAAAGTTTCGATTTTTGATTTTTATCTCTCTCGTTTTCATTAAATTTTGGTGTCATATTTAGTTAATAAAGTCGTGACACAAGTATATTAAAAAAAACATGTAATCATAAACATATGCTAGTAAAACTAAATTAAAAAAGAAGAAGAAGAAGATTTGGATACGTCTCAACAAATTGGATTGGTTACAAGCTGGACGGCTGAAAATCATGAATACGGGTTAAAAGAAGATTTAACTAAGACGATTTTGAAAGTAAAGGGAGGACATTAAGTTAAATAAAAATAGAGGGGTAAACTAGTACAAAACTAGGAGTAGAGGGACTTACAGAAGCTTTGACCATTAACTCTCCTGGTCTTCATTCTTCCCGGTCGGAGCTCCGAACCATTATATTTATTTAACGTTACAGAATAGAGCGGCACACAGCCCTAGGTCTTGCACTTGCTTTCCACACGCCCCTCTCTCTCTCTTAAATCATCATTATCAATCAAAACCTCAGAAACAGCCATGATTTGTTGCTAGTTTCCTTTCCTTCTCTCTACGTTCTTCTTATCTATCTGTGCAATCTGAGCTAATCACATAATCCTTATCTGTTGTGTTTTTTTATGTGATATCATCATGTATATAACAAGCTCAGCCTCAGCCTCTTCAATTCTTAGAGCTTCTAGGGCTAGGTTTTCTACTTCAGTCTCTCGAGTTTCCCTACTCTCTCCTTCTAAATTTGCTTCTCCTTCTCTGACGAATAATAATCAGCTCCGATCTCTTAGCTTCTCCTCCGCTGTTCGATCCCTCCGCTGTTCGTTCCCTCGCTGGAGCCACGGTGTCGATTGGCGTTCTTCTGCTACTCTTCGCCACCAGATCAGAGCCGTCGCTCCTGTTATCGAACGCTTCCAGCGAAAGATCGCTACTATGGGTACCTCAAATAATTTTGGATTCTTTTCCCATCTATATTGACTAATCATCTGTTTCGATTTCTAAAATTAGTCTCTTTAGCTATTGGATTGCTTTGCTTTTCAGAGGAAATCATTTTCCGTTTTTAGTGTTTCGGAAATGATTCGTTTTTTTTTACATAGTTAGAAAGAAACTTGATGTCATTTTCAATTCTGTTGTAATCGGGTGGTTACTTCCTCAGTACTGAATGGGCGCGGATCCTTTTATTTTAGTACCTGCTTAAATTATTAGTTATTATTGATCAAATGACAACAGTAATTAATTATGTTCGGCTGTTTAATTTCTTCAGCTACTGAACATCCTTTCAAGGGAATTTTCACCAGTCTCCCCAAGCCAGGAGGTGGCGAGTTTGGAAAGTTCTATAGCTTGCCCGCCATGAATGATCCAAGGATTGGTAATCTATACAACTGCAACGTTTTTGTGTTTCATATCATTTGGTTGTCGAATTAAGTTAATAAGGTAACCATGACCATATGTGACTGGTGATATGTGTTTTCCGTGTCAAATATAGATAAGCTGCCTTATTCTATCAGAATCCTTTTGGAATCTGCTATCCGTAATTGCGACAACTTCCAAGTCACGAAGGATGATGTTGAAAAAATCATTGATTGGGAAAACACATCTCCAAAGCAAGTTGAAATTCCGTTCAAGCCTGCTCGTGTTCTTCTGCAGGCATGTTGTAAGATTGGGAAGGTATACATTGTTTTGATTACGATGATGACTTTGTTTGTTAACCTGTATCTTTTGCTTTCAGGATTTTACTGGAGTACCAGCTGTTGTTGATCTTGCTTCTATGCGTGATGCCATGTGCCAACTTGGTGGTGATTCCAACAAGATCAATCCTTTGGTGCGTTTCTTCTTTCTCATGCAATTTGCTACGAGCAAAGTCGCTTAGGTTTGGAATAATCAGTTTCTATTTCAAAATCAGTGCTAAAACACTTTTTCTAGATGATGCTAGTGCAAATTGCTGCCTGTCTGCTTCTGGAAATCTGTCGCTGCCTTTTGCTGTTTTTTTCTGACATCATCTCGTTCGTTGTTCCTGATCAAATGTCGGAGACTATTTTGTTTGCAGGTTCCTGTAGATCTTGTCATTGATCATTCTGTTCAAGTCGACGTGGCGAGATCTGAAAATGCAGTGCAGGCAAACATGGAGCTTGAATTTCAGAGGAACAAGGAGAGATTTGCTTTTCTTAAATGGGGGTCTACTGCTTTCCAAAATATGCTTGTGGTTCCTCCTGGTTCTGGGATCGTGCATCAGGTATAATATGAAAGGATGGTGCATTAAATGTTCTAAGATTTGATACAAAGGCATATTACTCTCACTTTCAATAACAAGCCGATTATGTTCCTGTTTGCATGTTCTTACAGTTAATATTTCTTATTTCAGTTCGTAAATAGCTACAAGCTCAGACTAAGCATCCTATTTATTTTTTATTCATGTGCTGTGGTTGTCATGGTTTTGTCATTGAATGATTTGGTGTGCACACTTAAATTTCAGGTGAATCTTGAATATCTTGGACGTGTTGTTTTCAACACTGATGGTGTACTCTACCCTGATAGTGTGGTTGGAACTGATTCTCATACAACCATGATTGATGGGTTAGGAGTTGCTGGCTGGGGAGTTGGAGGTATTGAAGCAGAGGCTACAATGCTTGGCCAGGTAGTTAATGTGAATGTCTCATGGTTAAAGAATATTTGTCCAATGTCAACATTCAGACAGAAAAGATAACTAGTAGATCATTTTTAAACCACGCTTCTATTATAGTAGAGTCTGAAGGCAAAAGCAAAGAATTTGCATTATGCAAGTGTATGTTCTTTACTTATTTTGTTGTGGGATGTCTATAATTCTTAATTAGTGTATATCAGCATTATGTGGTTGAAGTTTAGTCTCAATTACAATTTTCCCATATTATTTGAGTGCTACTAATGTAGGACTTTTAGGAATTATTCTTTTTAGTAGTTATATAACGTTTCTTTTAATATTCAAGGTGTATTTGTTTATTTACGTAGTACATACAAGTTTGGTAATGGCATGGGTGCTTGGGGATGTCATTCATTCTCCACTATCTAGAATAAATGCGGAAGAGCTTTATGCTATGATTTTTTTTTCTAACATTGTACTTCCTCAAATTCACAGCCCATGAGCATGGTGTTGCCTGGTGTTGTTGGGTTCAAGTTGGATGGAAAGTTACGCAATGGTGTAACAGCAACTGACTTGGTTTTGACGGTGACTCAAATGCTGAGGAAGCATGGTGTTGTTGGAAAATTTGTTGAGTTTTATGGTAATTTGATTTTCGTGGACCTAAATTGACTTCGCTTTCAACTGCTCTTCTCCTGTCTTTGTTGGATGAGGTTTTCACATTTCTGTGCCTGCAGGTGATGGAATGGGTGAGCTGTCATTAGCGGACAGGGCTACTATAGCTAACATGTCTCCTGAGTATGGTGCAACCATGGGGTTCTTCCCAGTGGATCATGTTACTTTACAATATCTCAAATTGACTGGAAGGAGTGATGAAACTGTAAGTATCGTTTTTTGTTTCCAACGTATAGTTGTCTGCAATTTGAATTCTAAAAAGGATGCTAGTTGACTGGTCTTCTTGCAATAGGTGGCAAGGATAGAAGCATATCTCCGTGCAAACAAAATGTTTGTTGACTATAATGAGGCAGGGCCTTTTACTCTTTTTTCCAATGTTCATCATTCTTCTGATTACTTGATATAATCTGCTATATTTTGTTATTCAAATGCAACTATGTAATTATTAACTTTTTCCATACCATTTAATACAGCCCCAACAAGAAAGATTGTACTCATCCTATCTACAATTGGACCTTGCGGATGTTGAACCCTGTATTTCTGGACCGAAGAGGTTTGTGCCGTTTAACTGTGATAAATCCCATTCATCAACACTACTTCACAAACTGATGCTGTGTAGCTCATTTTCAACCCCTGCATTTCCTTTGGTTTATTGCTCATCAAAGCCTTTATTATTCCTTGTAGACCACACGACCGGGTTCCATTAAGAGAAATGAAGGCTGATTGGCATTCTTGTCTCAATAACAAAGTTGGATTTAAGGTCAGTTGCAAACCATTTCATTTACTGTAGATAACTGATATTCATAATCTTTGTTTCAATTAAATGACCTGGTTGTCTCAAATTTGTTTTTATATAATTTGCTGTTTCTCTTGCAAGGACTTTTTAATGTGATGAATTGAGTGAAGGAGGAAGTGCTTATTACTTCATATCTTAGTGATTTTATGGCAATCAATGGCTCAGGTTTCAGGATTTTGTTGGATCCTATAGAGTTGATGGTTATACTAAGTTATGTGGTTTTAAAAATGGGACCGTGACTTGCCTTCCGTACAAATTGGTTGGATCTATTCATTTCCACAGTTAAAAATCCATGGATCTAGGTGACAGTTTTATGTTTTTCTCTGAACAGTGAAAGTTGAATCACAGTCTTTATTATGCTCGAATTTCATCTTAGCGGGATTTAAATGCCAGTCATTGATTACCTTTAGTTATTCTTTGTCCAACTGCACTGCTATAATGAAATTTCCTTATTACCTCCATAACATCTACCAGTAGCAGCACCACCTTTTAGTGGCCATCGTTTCCATCAGTACCAATTCTGCTCCATCTTCCATCAGCTGATTACACTGGGCCATAACGAGTGTCCTAACGTCTGTAATTGTCGCTTCTTCAACCATAAGGAGTATTAAGCTTCTATCTATCAGTCTACCCTACCAATTGCTGTTAGCTCTCAGCCTGCCTCCACCATGAATTCATCCATTATGTCCACCCCCTACCCCATTTATGTGTGTGGACAAAGGGGTGTTGTGCTCGGATGTAGATGAATTATCATCATTTACATGTTCTGGATAACTGATAATTTGCAGTAGATAATGAACTGTATATGTCCAATCTTAATACAGATTGAGAGGATTCTGATCCATCTTGGAAGGTTTTTATTTAATTTTTTGGGTGTGATGCCATCATCATGGCTGAACTTCATCTGTTTATTGCTTTTCCACAAACCAACTTCCTAATTTGATATGAACACAGGGCTTTGCTATACCAAAAGAGGCACAGGACAAAGTGGCAAAGTTTTCATTCCATGGACAGCCAGCAGAGCTGAAGCATGGTAGTGTTGTGATTGCTGCAATCACAAGCTGTACCAATACATCAAATCCCAGTGTCATGCTAGGAGCTGCTCTTGTTGCTAAGAAGGCTTCTGAACTTGGTTTAAAGGTTAGGCATGCATAGACTTTTTATACTTTTTAAATTCTTATAGGCTTCCATCTGTCATAATGACTCAATCTTCTTTCCCCAACCTTGTCCTTTTGGTTCAATCATTTGTTATTTGCCCGTATTTTATTCTAATAATGTGAAAGCTACTGTAGCATTGGGTTATTCGTTAATGATTACTTCATAATTGTTCACCAGGTCAAGCCATGGATCAAAACAAGTCTCGCCCCAGGCTCTGGAGTTGTTACAAAATATTTACTCCAAAGGTATTTCCTGTAATTTACTGAATAATTTGATTGGTTTTAAAATAATTTAATATAAATTCCTTTTGATTTTTCTATACTTTAGAGGAAAAATATCAGCTAATTATTTATTTATTTATTTTTTGTAGTGGACTGCAAAAATATTTTAATGAGCAAGGCTTCCATCTAGTTGGATATGGCTGCACAACATGTATCGGAAATTCTGGGGATTTGGATGAATCTGTTGCTTCTGCTATTTCAGAAAATGGTAAGTTTGAGATCATGTTCATACTGTGATATAAATAATGGATTATAAGTCATGCTTTAGCGCAGTTGGGCATTAAACCATCAACATCTTGTGCATCCGAACCTTTGTTTTCTGATTACTCCCTCGCTTTCTCTCTGCAGATATTCTTGCTGCTGCTGTGCTTTCTGGTAACCGAAATTTTGAGGGCCGTGTTCACCCCTTGACAAGAGCAAACTATCTTGCTTCACCTCCTTTAGTGGTTGCCTATGCCCTTGCTGGGACGGTATGTTTACCTTTTTGCGTGTGCTTATTAGGTAATCAAAGGAGTATATGTAAACCTTGTTTCATGGAGTTTAGCGAGAGAGGAATAAAAGTTCAGGGTTATGGGGGACTAATTGCTGACCTTGGGAGGAGTTGACTAATTTGTTGAGTAGTAGGTCTTTTTCTATGTTTTTCCCTCTTCCTCAAACTTATACTGTACATCACTTACATTTAGTGTTGTGCCCTTCCAACATATATTTTTTAAAAATGTTCTTATCAAATTTTGTTCAATATTTTTGTCCTCACTGAAGCCCACTTATAAACTTGCAACTTCATAGAACTGCCACCTAACACTGTTAACCTTTCATGCCTTAATACTCTTGGCACCGTTACTGCTTTACTGTTAAACATTTGAACCCCGTTCTTTGCACGGCATGTCAAACTCAGTTTGGTTGTCCAAAATTTTCCAACTTCTGTCTCTGCAATGTTATTGAATAAGGTCTGTTAAGCACATTTTGGTTTTGAAATAATTGTGATGGACAGTGAAGGGTTTTCTCTGCCCAGCTCCTAGTTTAATGTTGAACATTTTGCATCATGTTTGCTTTACGAGGATCCAGATTCTTTTTATTGGTTCCTTTGAAAATTTCCTTAATATTGCTGCTGCTCTTCGTCAATAAGGTGATGTGAAAATGTTTTCCAGGTTGACATTGACTTTGATAAGGAACCAATTGGAACAGGGAAGGATGGTAGGAGTGTCTATTTCAAGGATATCTGGCCAACAACAGAGGAAATTGCAGAGGTACATATCGTCAAATTGGCATATTTTGACGTGTAGTTTTTTAATATGATGCTTAACTGCTGGTATGGACTGAAATTTACTTGGGATGCGTGCTGTTCAGGTCGTTCAAGCCAGCGTATTGCCTGATATGTTCAAAAGTACATACGAGTCCATCACAAAGGGCAATCCTATGTGGAATCAGCTAACCGTACCAGCTGGAACTTCCTATTCATGGGACCCTAATTCAACCTATATTCATGATCCCCCGTACTTCAAGAACATGACCCTAAATCCTCCTGGAGCCCATGGGGTGAAAGATGCATACTGTTTGCTTAGCTTTGGTGATAGTATCACGACAGATCACATTTCCCCAGCAGGAAGCATCCATAAAGACAGTCCTGCTGCAAAGTACCTCCTTGAGCGTGGGGTGGATCGCAAAGACTTCAACTCTTATGGAAGTCGTCGTGGGAATGATGAAGTGATGGCTAGGGGAACTTTTGCCAATATTCGCATTGTTAACAAACTTTTGAATGGGGAAGTGGGACCCAAGACTGTTCATATTCCTACAGACGAGAAACTCTACGTATTTGATGCAGCAATGGTAAGTCTCTTGGTATTAGATGTTGACAATTTCCCTTCCTGACTTATTTCCCCTAAACTTTGTACCTATATTGTCAATATCATTCATCTATAATTGTTTTGCTTTATGCTAACAAAAACAATAAGAATTCTAGATGGATTGCAGATGCCTTTTGTATAAAAGTGCCTTTGTGAATTTTCTGATAGTTCAAGTGTATTGGCTCAGTTGTTGCATACACTGATGGACTTGGACATATCTAAGTGTCACATACATGATGATATAGTTCTGTTATCTGGAGTGGTTTCCTGTGATTATCTGTGCCAAAGTGTCTTTGTCTGCTAAAACCCATGCCTGTGAGCTTAGATATATGATTTCTAATCCTTAACTTTGAGTGATCAATCTACTATTTCAGAGGTACAAGAGTGATGGACATGACACTATTGTTTTGGCTGGAGCTGAGTATGGAAGTGGAAGCTCCAGAGATTGGGCTGCCAAGGGTCCCATGTTATTGGTGAGTCTTTTCATCCATCATTTTAGCTTGAATAGGTTGCTACCCATTCAACTGTGTTTTAAATTTCAATGGTCTGGACCATCCACTGTGGAAATACCCTTCTATAAACTTTCTTACGGACTTCATTTCTATAGGGAGTTAAAGCTGTGATTGCCAAGAGTTTTGAGAGAATTCATCGCAGTAATTTGGTGGGAATGGGAATTATTCCACTTTGTTTCAAGGCTGGTCAGGATGCGGACACGCTAGGATTGACTGGCCATGAGCGCTATACTATTGACCTTCCAAGCAATATCAGTGAGATAAAACCTGGCCAAGACGTGGCTGTCACAACTGACAATGGGAAATCGTTCACCTGCACAGCTCGCTTTGACACTGAGGTGATTCACTCTTTTTCCTAAGTTCTAATATTATTTCAAATTCTTGTTTGATTATGTTGAAACATGGGGATTTCTCAAGTTTTTCTTGGAAATTGACGAAGTGATTTGGGAATGTATTTACTTTATACAAGGTTTATGAACAGCATGAACAAATTATTAGTAGTACCTTAGCTCTTGCATGGTATTGGCTGACACAAAAACATTGTGGATTGTGAAATATTTTCCACTCTAGGAATATCTAAACACAACTATTAGACCCTACAAAAACTTCATCCTATTGTATACTAAAGCACCTGACTTTGAATGTAATCTCATTATTGAACCTGAGAGTTTGGCCTTAATTGCCTCAGCCTGTTTTTACACACTAAACTGCAGAATGCTAGGCTTGGAGCTAATAAAGCCTTGCATTAAATGGATGGCAGACTAAAATTACAAAATTAAGCTATGAATTGACATGCTTAAATGATAATATAACAATGTGGTTGGCTGTAGGGTCAAATTATATATTTGCCTGACGCATTTAGATAGCTGCTGCCTAGAAAAAGGGTTTATTTATTTATTTATTTAAAAAAAGTGCCTCTTGGACGCCATGTTATATCTACTTGAGTAAGATTGGGTTGCATTCTGCATTATTGCTATGCATATCATTAAACATTAGTGGATGTGGATACACCGACCTTTTTTGTGTAATCATGTTTTTGCAGGCCTGTGCTTTTTTATCTTTCTCCTAGACCCTGTATTTTTCTTTGTTTTTTATGTTTTGTGTTTCATCTACTCATACTTTAAAGCTGATGACATTAATTACAATTGCAGGTGGAATTGGCTTATTTCAATCACGGGGGCATTCTTCCATATGTTATTAGGAATTTGACGAAGCAGTGATTACTCCAATGATGACCACGGCCTTGCTCCCCTCGAGAACTTTCAATTGTATAATGTGTCGAGAAAATAAAATTTTTAATAATAGGAAAAAAATCCCCATAATGGGACAGGCATTTGTTTTTTCACTTCAATGTCTGACATGAATTGTCGGCTAAAGGATTGCTTCTAGCAAATATGATTTTTTTTGTTTTGGTGATTGCTTGAAACCACCACCCCTGTGAATTACATGTTTGTCAGAACGTGCTTTGAGAAAGTGATTTGTGCTACAGATGCAAGAGTTTACGGCCTTACAGGACAATTTTCTGTAATAAAGATGTATATCATAAATTGTTGTTCTGTAGCTTGTTGCCAGGGAACATGTTTTTTGTTGCTTTGGCTCGGGAAAGCATAAATTGGAAGCATGTCTAAAGGTGAAGCAATATGCAATGGGAAACACTAGCAATTTTGGTCCAGGATAACATAGTAATTTTTGTTACTTGAATATTGAATTTTAGTTTGTCTGAGTGTTTTATGTTTAGTTTTAATTATTATTAAAATAATACTATCTGAGTAGGATTTAGTAATTTAATTATTTGTTGGAGTTTTGATGTTAGTTTTAAGTGAGAATTTTCTATGTTTAAAATTGACATTTATCCCTATGGTACATGTAGTTTTCTATCTGGTCTACGGAAAAATCGAAAGTTCAATGCATAGCAAACTAAGGCTGCTCTTAGAACTTAAAACGAGATGTTTTATAGAGAGAGGAAATAACGAAAACTTGTAGCATAGGATCCAATCTTGGAAAAATTAATATTTGTTTCTATTCAAACAATTGTCTATGCATTTCAACTAACGTATTCTTTTACATAGAAATAACCAATCATGCATATATCTTTTTCTCTGAGACATGATTCTTCATATGATGTATTTTCTTTCATATAAGATCATGTTTATTCAATGAAGTAAAAGTAATCTTCTACAATAATATAACATTTCCTTTCGTATTACGTTTCACTCGAAACATGTTTCTTGAAATTAATAATCATATATGTTCCAACAAATGGTCCTTCAAATTTAGATTCATATGGTTTTCATACGCATGCATTAATTGGAAAGGTATATTAAAATGAGCGTTAAAATCGAAATATAGAAGAAATTAGTTGTCTGTATGATTACTCGAGCATAAAAATTGAACAAGATACCAGACGAAGGAGATAAATGGATTGGAGTTCTTGGAATATTGAAAGTTTGGAACACTGTAGGCACTCCAACGTAGGTACGATTAGTTGGAGCTGTACAGTTGATGGTTGATATTAGTAATCGAAGCTGGACACTCGAAAATTGAAATATCTAATTATAATTATATGAACAATCTCTTGCATACAAGATGGTCATTTCGTAAAAACTTACCATTTCTACCATATTTTCAAAACAAGAAAATACAAGATGCATATTAATTATTAAAATAGCCTCAACCTACCAAAGTCATGATTTTTTTACAACGAGAAAGAAACTTGATGACAAATTAATTGCATGCTATGTGTGTGTGTGTGCGTGTTCATTAACGTTACTCTGGAATGCTACCCAAAACCGGCTTCCAGCTGCCAGTACTCATGATACCTCCATCGCTTGATCCAACTTGATCAGTCCAGCTCCTCTCTCTCAACCTCAGAGAACTTATCAATTGCTCCACAGAAGAGTTGTTTATACTCTCCCTAAAACTCAAGATTTGCTTTAACTCTTCTTTAGTAACCACAACTCTAATCCTCACAGCACCGCCACCTTTAGACGTCGTCCCATCACCCACCTCGCCATCTTCATCAACATTATTAACCTCTTCACTTAAGCTGAACCTCACCATCTTCGCCTTGCCACCTTGGACATGCTTGAGGTGCTCCATCTTAGATGACATGGAAGGTATTCTTTTAGTCTCGTTGATGATCCATTGATCTGCTTCATGACTTCGTTGCTTAAACTTGGCATTTTGTGATACAATCTTGCTACTTGAGATGAAGCAGTTTCCCATGCTTATGAAACCAGAAAGATCAGTAAAGGAAAGAAAGAGGCCAGGGAGGATAAGTTAAAGAAAAGTGAAAGCATAAATAGAGGGAAAGGGAGGAGAGAAGGCACATGAATAACCGGGTGTTGCGCCGTATGTTCAAAGGAAATAAATTATTATATTTTTTCTCTAGCTGGAGACTAACATCAGCAAGTATGAATATAATGCCTTCGATGCCGTTCTGCCTACACTTGTATTTACTAAGGTTGGCTCACATGGTAATAAAAATAGTTATTGGGAGGTCTTACGTTCAATTAAGCTCTGTTATTGGCTTCTTGACAAGAGACAGCATTTTTATATAAGATTGAGATATTTTAACAGTTAAAATTTTGGTCCTGGTGAGGCTTTTGGTGAAACGAGAAAGATGATTTAATTAAGCAATAAGAGTAAATCATCTCCAGCTTATAATAAATTAATGTTTAGTCTTTATCTAATATGGTTTATTGAGATTGTTTGTTATCCACCCAAAAGCTTTTTAGCTTTGCTAACTGGCAAAGTTTCTGCTTGCGTAACAATATTTGACTCCACTAATTATCAACAGTATTAAAGGACCCAATTAACCAATATTACCGTCCATCTACTCCTGTTATTCAGGAATCGGTCTTATTTGTTTGTTGATTATTTGAAGTTTAAGGCCCTTTAATTGCGTTCAATTGACTGTTGTTGTTAATTAGTCTTGGAGCTGCAAATTAGGGTAATAAATTAATAATCTATTTGTCTATTACGTACAAAAGTAAAAATAAAAATCATCTATTTTTTGTCCTTGCATTGTTGGATAATGCCCTTAAGCTTTAAAATTAATCAATTGTATTCTTATATTTTCCCATTTTTTCCAACATCTCCTTTTGTCTCGTCATAAAAGTCAAAACACCAGCTGTCAGCCTTAATTTAATTTCTTTCAACGAGTTTCTCTTCCCAATTCTGTTTTTCTTTCGAGTTTATATACTTTTTTCGTTTTTCAATTGATTGATTTTAAATGTCATAAACATGTATTATAAAGACAAGTGGATTAATTTTTTGTAAAAGAACTCGCCATACGAAACTTTAATTGTTGGATGCATAAACATTTCCAATTTAAATGACGTGAGTTTGCATTTTTTGACAAATTGAATCTTATATTAATTTTTGCAAGGGAGGCTCATGACATCATTATCATTTATTTAGCTTTAAGATGAAGTGACATAAGTACGATGGAGTTGTATATTCTTTAAGCATTTATACGTGAAATTATAAGCTGAAATAATATTTCATCTTAAAAGTATATTTATACATTCATTTATAAATAAATTAACTAACATTTTTTTTTACCAGGCTGAATTTACTAATTAGACATGTATTACGTACGGGCATATGAAATTGAATATGATATCGATTCTACAGCAGTTTCTTATCTCCATAATTTTAATCTATTTAGTTATTATATAATTAGAAATGACTACTCCAATTATATTATATAAGTAGTTCAAAACCCAATAAATTTTTGAATAGTTATTTTTTTTAATTAAAAAAAGTATACACACTGATTTAGCAAATCAAGCATACATGCATACATCATAATATAACCAATAAGTTTTTCTAGTTGATGCATATTAGTTTGAGCTAGTTATGGCCACATTATATATATATATATATATAATGAAAAAATATTGCAACAATTTCCTTAATTATAGCAAATTTTCTTTTGATAATGATTCGGATCAAACGTACGCTAGAAAAGCAAAATCTCTAATTAAACAACTTTATACTAAGCACTCAATATTGCCCTGGCCATCTAGCATTCATAGATTATAACAGCAAGTACGTACGTACGTAGCTAAACAACACAATAATTAATGACAAATAATTCAAAGATTTAATTATTATCTGGGTTTGAAATTTAACCACATGCATGGGAAAATGAACTATGGGTTCATTGCGTGTGAGATGTCCTTCAACTTTTAGGGCAGAAATTTGGAACTTCTGATCTGCAGGTGCAAGGTATTATGCCACATTATTACTTTCAGGATCGTTGAAATACGAAGGGCTCTAACGTGTTTGAACAGTTAGATGTTATCTATAGGCATCTTCTTTCACATGGGGTTAGGTGATCGGTTCATTAGCTAGTTTCTTACGAAATATCGTGGAGACGTTATGCCTTTTGCTGCATGTGGGAGATGGCCCATTTGTGCAGTTTTATAATGGGAGACAACGACCAAGCTCCCTAAGATGCATGTGTAGGACGGATTTACTTTAAAGTTGACTAGGTGATCCAGAGGAGTGTTTATTTCCATGATTCATGTAACCAGAAAATACCAATGTGTAAGGAACTGAATAATAATTTAATTACGATCGGAATTGATCAATTGAAAGAAATAGAAAGAGTTAGTTAGGACAATTCTGAATATTTGAAATTTAGATTGGAGGTATAATTTATCTTCTCAATAATGCACAGGAATGAGAATGTCATTTTGTGAAATATTTCAAGACCAAATTGAAAGCAAATATTTCCGGGTGAATTCATATGCCTTGTCACATGGAAATGACGAAGGCAGTTCAAAAGGTAGAGGAAAAATTGATTCAACTAATCGCAACATTAATTTCATCAAATGCAAAGAAAAAAAATCTACATTATATATATATAGAACACCGAAAGTCAATTTATTATCTCATGTCAAACTAACGATCAAGAATATTTATTAAAGAAAAGATAAAAAAAATGCTAATATTAAAAACTAGGGTACGTGAATTACAACTCCTTGAGGTATTGTAAAATTATAAAAAACCAATTAGAAGTTTGAAGATTTGACAAAAAAACCACTTTACGTTTAAGAAAACATCACAAAACCCTCATTTCATATACAAAATGCCCTTAATTACTTTTTAAAAAATATTTAAATTAATTTAAAAAATTAGAGAAGGAATATATAAAAATAAGACATAATTAATTTTTAGTACGAACAATATTAATTTCACTAGTAAAGTTTATTTTGAGTTTCTTTTTTATTTTTCTCTATTTTTTTTCAAAAATCTGTCTAAAATATTTTTTCATAAATAATAATCAAGGGCATTTTGGGAATATTATGGAGTTTCTATCGAATTTTAAAACTTTAGATAGTTCATGTAATTTTATGATACTTCAAGCAAATTATTATAATTTATCCTAAAATTATTTACTTAGATCAAACTCGCAATGCACTAAAAAATATCTTCTAATTAAATTTTATTGAAATTAACCCTAGCCGAGTACTCCTAACCCGTCTTATTCTTTTTTCTACAAAACCTTTCTCTCAACTAGGGATGACAATGAGCGAGATATCCTGTTCATTAATTCAATTTTTTACTCTATTCATATATAAAAAAAATACCATACCCATTGTTAATATCCAATTTCTCTCCCATTATTTTCTTTTTTATAATTCTTAATAAATAAATAAATAAAAACAACAAATACCAAATATAAAAAAGAGAGAGAAAAATCAATTAAAATAAGTAGCCCAAATTAGTTTTGGAGGTCTAACTAAAAGGAATAAGAAGTTTGACAACCGAAAGAAACCCGATCGAGGGTAAAATTAAAAAGCTAAAAACCTCAAATCTTTAAATTAAAAAAAAAAAGGATATGATTAGCGAAATTTAAGATAAGGTCCCGATTAATTGTAATTTAGGGATCCATTAAAATTCAAACAACCCAAATTACATTTAATTTGATGAATTAGGAGAAATTGTGGGCCGAAATTGATTTTTATCCAAAAACTCTAATTTTCACCTATAAATAGCCATTTTTCTCTCCACACCCACTATCTACCGTCTCTCCCAAAATATTACATCCACCATTTCCTTCTCTAGCTGAATTTTTGAGCTCCCCCATCATCCAAAACCACTAGATACCACCATTCATCCATCATCCAAGTCATCACCACCTATTAAAACTATCATCAGTAGTCTCTCCTAACTTTGCCAACCATTACAATACCTCCACACATCCAGCCACCCTTCATCACCCACACATTAGCCACCAAAAACCCCATAAAAACCTCCACACAAAAACAATAAAAAACCAAAAAAAAAAATACCAAACGCATTGTTACCTATTCATCGGACCTATTTGCCTACTATACTTGCCAAAAGTTCTTCTCTTAATTCAATCGTCCTTTGGCCAATATTGCATCCAACCACCATCACCTATCGGTAGCCCGGCTTGGCGGCTCCGGACCAACCCATCCCCATTGGTTAGGGAAGAAGAGGACGTTGAAGGAGGGAGAAATTAGAGGTAGGATTATGACGACTCAATTGAATTTCATACACGATCGAATCTCTCATTTTTTATAAAACCACCACCCGTCACTCGTAAAAAAACTCTCTTCACCCTCTTAAAAATTGTTCCCCCTTGAAGTCACGGCTTAGTGGCACCGGAAAACGATGAATTGCAACCAAACTCGTTTCTCGACCCATTTGTGAAGACCCGACCAAATCGATCAATCAAGGCCAAATCGGACCTTTTAACCACTATAAAAACAATCCTCATAGCCTTCTAAGTCAATTATTATCCTCAAAATCTTCTAATCTCATTGGAATCTTCATTAAGAAGAAAGGGAGAAATGATCGAAACTTCTAGGTTGCCAATCTCCCTCTTTCGTTGACGACGTCGCCCGCCACCACCATATACGAGTCGGCAAAAACCTCCTTCATTGCATGGGTTAGTTCACGTGCTTGTAAGATAATTAGAGGATGATCGAGTAGTTGGCAATGACGGTTAAGCTTTTGGGGTAGTTTGGTAATTTTGTCGTGCATAGGTATTTTGGTAATTTTTGCATACATGGACATTATTGTCATTTCGCAACTAATCAAGGGCGAGTTTAGTCATCCTATAATATGTTTTTCAACACTCATAAATAGTTGCCTCCTCCTTCTTGACGGACTAAAATAATCGGTTTTCATTAGGATTAGAAGAAGTAAAGCCGATCGGAGAGAGGGACTTATAACATTCTCATGATGTTTAGGTAATTTTAAAACTCATCTGGATTATTTAAAATGATAAAAATGTTGTGTTGTGGATGATTGAGTTTTCAAATACTTTATCCGATTATGTTTGAGATTTTTACTTATTGTCCGTTTGTCCGAATTGAAGTTGTCGGTGGCTTCTCACTTATGTGGTCGAAGTCTGTCTTTGTCTTTCAAATCAATTTACATACTTTCTTATTTGTTTAAAATGTAGTTGTCGGTGTCTTTTCACTTATGTGACGAAGTTGTCAATGGTTTAAAAGTTATTTTATCCGTGTTCTGTTTACTCGAAATGTAGCCAAATTAGCTTAGATATATGATTTCTAATCCTTAACTTTGAGTGATCAATCTACTATTTCAGAGGTACAAGAGTGATGGACATGACACTATTGTTTTGGCTGGAGCTGAGTATGGAAGTGGAAGCTCCAGAGATTGGGCTGCCAAGGGTCCCATGTTATTGGTGAGTCTTTTCATCCATCATTTTAGCTTGAATAGGTTGCTACCCATTCAACTGTGTTTTAAATTTCAATGGTCTGGACCATCCACTGTGGAAATACCCTTCTATAAACTTTCTTACGGACTTCATTTCTATAGGGAGTTAAAGCTGTGATTGCCAAGAGTTTTGAGAGAATTCATCGCAGTAATTTGGTGGGAATGGGAATTATTCCACTTTGTTTCAAGGCTGGTCAGGATGCGGACACGCTAGGATTGACTGGCCATGAGCGCTATACTATTGACCTTCCAAGCAATATCAGTGAGATAAAACCTGGCCAAGACGTGGCTGTCACAACTGACAATGGGAAATCGTTCACCTGCACAGCTCGCTTTGACACTGAGGTGATTCACTCTTTCCTAAGTTCTAATATTATTTCAAATTCTTGTTTGATTATGTTGAAACATGGGGATTTCTCAAGTTTTTCTTGGAAATTGACCAAGTGATTTGGGAATGTATTTACTTTATACAAGGTTTATGAACAGCATGAACAAATTATTAGTAGTACCTTAGCTCTTGCATGGTATTGGCTGACACAAAAACATTGTGGATTGTGAAATATTTTCCACTCTAGGAATATCTAAACACAACTATTAGACCCTACAAAAACTTCATCCTATTGTATACTAAAGCACCTGACTTTGAATGTAATCTCATTATTGAACCTGAGAGTTTGGCCTTAATTGCCTCAGCCTGTTTTTACACACTAAACTGCAGAATGCTAGGCTTGGAGCTAATAAAGCCTTGCATTAAATGGATGGCAGACTAAAATTACAAAATTAAGCTATGAATTGACATGCTTAAATGATAATATAACAATGTGGTTGGCTGTAGGGTCAAATTATATATTTGCCTGTGAGCTTAGATATATGATTTTATATATATATATATATAATGAAAAAATATTGCAACAATTTCCTTAATTATAGCAAATTTTCTTTTGATAATGATTCGGATCAAACGTACGCTAGAAAAGCAAAATCTCTAATTAAACAACTTTATACTAAGCACTCAATATTGCCCTGGCCATCTAGCATTCATAGATTATAACAGCAAGTACGTACGTACGTAGCTAAACAACACAATAATTAATGACAAATAATTCAAAGATTTAATTATTATCTGGGTTTGAAATTTAACCACATGCATGGGAAAATGAACTATGGGTTCATTGCGTGTGAGATGTCCTTCAACTTTTAGGGCAGAAATTTGGAACTTCTGATCTGCAGGTGCAAGGTATTATGCCACATTATTACTTTCAGGATCGTTGAAATACGAAGGGCTCTAACGTGTTTGAACAGTTAGATGTTATCTATAGGCATCTTCTTTCACATGGGGTTAGGTGATCGGTTCATTAGCTAGTTTCTTACGAAATATCGTGGAGACGTTATGCCTTTTGCTGCATGTGGGAGATGGCCCATTTGTGCAGTTTTATAATGGGAGACAACGACCAAGCTCCCTAAGATGCATGTGTAGGACGGATTTACTTTAAAGTTGACTAGGTGATCCAGAGGAGTGTTTATTTCCATGATTCATGTAACCAGAAAATACCAATGTGTAAGGAACTGAATAATAATTTAATTACGATCGGAATTGATCAATTGAAAGAAATAGAAAGAGTTAGTTAGGACAATTCTGAATATTTGAAATTTAGATTGGAGGTATAATTTATCTTCTCAATAATGCACAGGAATGAGAATGTCATTTTGTGAAATATTTCAAGACCAAATTGAAAGCAAATATTTCCGGGTGAATTCATATGCCTTGTCACATGGAAATGACGAAGGCAGTTCAAAAGGTAGAGGAAAAATTGATTCAACTAATCGCAACATTAATTTCATCAAATGCAAAGAAAAAAAATCTACATTATATATATATAGAACACCGAAAGTCAATTTATTATCTCATGTCAAACTAACGATCAAGAATATTTATTAAAGAAAAGATAAAAAAAATGCTAATATTAAAAACTAGGGTACGTGAATTACAACTCCTTGAGGTATTGTAAAATTATAAAAAACCAATTAGAAGTTTGAAGATTTGACAAAAAAACCACTTTACGTTTAAGAAAACATCACAAAACCCTCATTTCATATACAAAATGCCCTTAATTACTTTTTAAAAAATATTTAAATTAATTTAAAAAATTAGAGAAGGAATATATAAAAATAAGACATAATTAATTTTTAGTACGAACAATATTAATTTCACTAGTAAAGTTTATTTTGAGTTTCTTTTTTATTTTTCTCTATTTTTTTTCAAAAATCTGTCTAAAATATTTTTTCATAAATAATAATCAAGGGCATTTTGGGAATATTATGGAGTTTCTATCGAATTTTAAAACTTTAGATAGTTCATGTAATTTTATGATACTTCAAGCAAATTATTATAATTTATCCTAAAATTATTTACTTAGATCAAACTCGCAATGCACTAAAAAATATCTTCTAATTAAATTTTATTGAAATTAACCCTAGCCGAGTACCCCTAACCCGTCTTATTCTTTTTTCTACAAAACCTTTCTCTCAACTAGGGATGACAATGAGCGAGATATCCTGTTCATTAATTCAATTTTTTACTCTATTCATATATAAAAAAATACCATACCCATTGTTAATATCCAATTTCTCTCCCATTATTTTCTTTTTTATAATTCTTAATAAATAAATAAATAAAAACAACAAATACCAAATATAAAAAAGAGAGAGAAAAAATCAATTAAAATAAGTAGCCCAAATTAGTTTTGGAGGTCTAACTAAAAGGAATAAGAAGTTTGACAACTGAAAGAAACCCGATCGAGGGTAAAATTAAAAAGCTAAAAACCTCAAATCTTTAAATTAAAAAAAAAAAGGATATGATTAGCAGAAATTTAAGATAAGGTCCCGATTAATTGTAATTTAGGGATCCATTAAAATTCAAACAACCCAAATTACATTTAATTTGATGAATTAGGAGAAATTGTGGGCCGAAATTGATTTTTATCCAAAAACTCTAATTTTCACCTATAAATAGCCATTTTTCTCTCCACACCCACTATCTACCGTCTCTCCCAAAATATTACATCCACCATTTCCTTCTCTAGCTGAATTTTTGAGCTCCCCCATCATCCAAAACCACTAGATACCACCATTCATCCATCATCCAAGTCATCACCACCTATTAAAACTATCATCACTGTCTCTCCTAACTTTGCCAACCATTACAATACCTCCACACATCCAGCCACCCTTCATCACCCACACATTAGCCACCAAAAACCCCATAAAAACCTCCACACAAAAACAATAAAAAACCAAAAAAAAAATACCAAACGCATTGTTACCTATTCATCGGACCTATTTGCCTACTATACTTGCCAAAAGTTCTTCTCTTAATTCAATCGTCCTTTGGCCAATATTGCATCCAACCACCATCACCTATCGGTAGCCCGGCTTAGCGGCTCCGGACCAACCCATCCCCATTGGTTAGGGAAGAAGAGGACGTTGAAGGAGGGAGAAATTAGAGGTAGGATTATGACGACTCAATTGAATTTCATACACGATCGAATCTCTCATTTTTTATAAAACCACCACCCGTCACCGTAAAAAAACTCTCTTCACCCTCTTAAAAATTGTTCCCCCTTGAAGTCACGGCTTAGTGGCACCGGAAAACGATGAATTGCAACCAAACCTGTTTCTCGACCCATTTGTGAAGACCCGACCAAATCGATCAATCAAGGCCAAATCGGACCTTTTAACCACTATAAAAACAATCCTCATAGCCTTCTAAGTCAATTATTATCCTCAAAATCTTCTAATCTCATTGGAATCTTCATTAAGAAGAAAGGGAGAAATGATCGAAACTTCTAGGTTGCCAATCTCCCTCTTTCGTTGACGACGTCGCCTGCCACCACCATATACGAGTCAGCAAAAACCTCCTTCATTGCATGGGTTAGTTCACGTGCTTGTAAGATAATTAGAGGATGATCGAGTAGTTGGCAATGACGAGTTAAGCTTTTGGGGTAGTTTGGTAATTTTGTCGTGCATAGGTATTTTGGTAATTTTTGCATACATGGACATTATTGTCATTTCGCAACTAATCAAGGGCGGTTTAGTCATCCTATAATATGTTTTTCAACACTCATAAATAGTTGCCTCCTCCTTCTTGACGGACTAAAATAATCGGTTTTCATTAGGATTAGAAGAAGTAAAGCCGATCGGAGAGAGGGACTTATAACATTCTCATGATGTTTAGGTAATTTTAAAACTCATCCGGATTATTTAAAATGATAAAAATGTTGTGTTGTGGATGATTGAGTTTTCAAATACTTTATCCGATTATGTTTGAGATTTTTACTTATTGTCCGTTTGTCCGAATTGAAGTTGTCGGTGGCTTCTCACTTATGTGGTCGAAGTCTGTCTTTGTCTTTCAAATCAATTTACATACTTTCTTATTTGTTTAAAATGTAGTTGTCGGTGTCTTTTCACTTATGTGACGAAGTTGTCAATGGTTTAAAAGTTATTTTATCCGTGTTCTGTTTACTCGAAATGTAGCCACCAATGGCTTCCAATTTAGTGGACGAAGCCGCCAATGGCTCTCGAATTAGTTTTATTTAATTTTTGATCACCGAAATGAAGTTGTTGGTGGTTAATTTGCATTTATGTGACGAAGCTACCGAGTGGTTTTGAAGTTATTTTATTTTTTTCTTCTTGTTTGAAATAAAATCATCGATGGCTTATCCTTTATGTGATGAAGTCTTCGGTGGCTTCCAAACCAGCTATCTACTCCTTGCTCGAGTGAAATGAAGTTGTCGGTAGCTTTCCTCTTATGTGAAGAAGTTATCGATAGCTTCCTAAATTTTAAAACTCGAAGTGATTAGTGGCTTTTCACCTATATGAGCAAAGTTATCGGTGATTTTCTATTCATGTCAATAAAGGCTATTAATCTTTAGAAACTCATCAATTTGTCGATATAGGTTGTGTTTGCTAAAGATTAGCTAAAATTTCAACCACCTTTTTCCTCTAAGTATAGGTATCGATCTTGGACCAACTCGAACCCCGAATTACTTTACTATTCTATCATAATAAAATAAATCTACTCAAATAGGCATAGAAACAGAACATAATAAAATCAGATTTTTATTTTCACATGAAACAATACAACCTACCTCAAGTAGGATGAGATGACGGCGGTGTTATATCTTTTTCATGCGTAACCAACACCTTACTCGGATATCTATGCAGACTAGTTTGTTGAGGATTTCATAATTTTTTTGATTGGCTAGGTAGCAACTCTAGTTCTTGCACATCCTTAGTCGGCCTCGTCGACACCCGTTATCCTTTAAGAAATCATTGTATAAATTTTTAACTAGCCCATACTCAGTCCACATTATTTTATCTACCCATTTAGTATCCATTTAATGCCCGATAAAATTAATTTATCAAACATATTCATTTTAGTCCAGATAATTTTTATGAAAATTTTTTTAGTCCTTAAAATTTATTGTTTTGCATTTTAGTCATTTATTTATAAGTTTTTTTGGTTCCCAAAGTTTTTTTTTAAATAATCTAGTCCTTAATTTTTAAATTTTATGCAATTAGATCTCCATATGTTAATAATAAAAAAATCAAAATAAATTAATGGCTATTAATAGAATAAAAAGTGAGTACCAATATCCTAAAACCATATTAATGAGTATGCATTTTTTTTTTTACCTTTATCCACTTTCATATCCATCAAATATTTTTAATGGGTATTTATTAGATCGAGTAAAA